GAGGGCCAGGTGCAGGGGATGTGGGGTGGAGACCGACCGGGGCAGACAGGGAGCTTTGGCGCCGGGAGCGGGCAGGGCGGTGAGGGCTGGCGTCCCCTTGCTGGCCGCTCAGGCGCCGAAAGCGCTCCCCGCCGCAGCGGTCTGGCCTGCGGCCTGTGCTGCACGGGCGTTTAGGCTTCCTGGAGACCCTTTAGGGGATGGCCTGCCCCAGCAGAACTTTGCTCCAACTCCACACCCCCGACTGGGGGGGTCCCTGGAAGCAGGGTCAGGTGGGTCCTAGCCCGCCCCAGCCCAGGGGTGCTCCTCGGGCCGCCGAGGTGGGCTTTCCAAGTCCAGTGGAGTCTGGGATGAAACGGCTTTGTCCGCGGCCCCCGCCGGGGAGCCTGCTGGGATTCAGTTTCTCGGCCAAGTGGTGTGATAGAACCCGCAGAGGGCGAGCTGTGCCTTCGGGCGGCCTCAGGGCTGCTCTGTGCCAGGGGGCACGTGCAGGGGGTTGGGGTGTTGGTTTTATTGCTGTTTGGGGCCCAGGGCGGGGCAGGATCAATTTGTGTTTCTTGCTGCAGACTGTTAGGAGGTTTCCAGTCTTTCCTGAAGGGGATTTTAATGCTGGTCTCCGGATTCCAGACCTGGGAGGGGGGTTCCGGGAGGTGCCTTAGGCTGAACGGGGTCCCTCCCCTTCCAGTCCCCACACAGCGACCCCCCCTTGCGTTCTGCTCTCGGAGCTGTCGGAGGAGGGGACCCCCACGCCTCGCCCCCTGTGACCCGCCTGTTCTCCTTTCAGAGAGGCCATCACAAAAATGAAAGACGTTTACTTAAAGAACCCGCAGATGGGCGACCCCGCCAGCCTGGACCACAAGCTAGTGGAAGTCAGCCGCAACGTCGACAAGCTGCGCCTGGAGGCCCAGAAGTTCGAGGTACCGGCCGTGGGCAGAACACGCGCGAGCTGTGGTGTGGGGGCCCCCAGCGGCCTGCGGGGCGCCCTGGACCTCCACCAGGGCTGACCTCACTGTCCCGGCACTGCCGACTTTGCAGCGCTGCTCAGTGGCAGGGGTGCGTGGGGGGCTTGCTTCACCCGCTGTTGGCGGAGGACGTGACTGGGAGGGTCTGGTCATAGCTGTGAGCGAAGACGCTGGTGAGGCAAGGCCCCGGTCGCCTGGGGCCTGGTCAGCAGGGGAGCCGTAGCCCACAGGGCCTCACGCGAAGAGGAAGGAGGAAACGCGGGACCCTTGCTGGAGAAAGCCCTAGAAGTCAGACACAGGCCTCTCCCACTGCCCGGTGTAAGGGCCTGGGGGAGCGAGTTCCCAGCGGAGCGTTTCAGCCAGAATAGGGTTGTTTCTAGCAATAACGGCTCCAGGAGATCTTCCATCCTTTCTAGACCCTCGCTGAGTTAGGCTTCAGTTTAAAAACCTAGAAGTGTCTGCTGGTCGGTTTTATGCTTCGCGTTATTCCGAACGTAGCTGGAGGTAATCTTGTCTGCTTTGATTTGCTGGCCACGCGGCTGGCAGAAGTAAAGGGCCACCTTCCCAGGAAAACGGAAGCCGGCCTGCCCCGCCCCACTCCTGCAGCCTCGCTTCCCAGGGGCACCTCACGGCCAGAGTTTTGAGAGCCAGGAAGTACTAGGAGCCCAGAGGTCACACAGCTGCTTCAGAGTCCACTTCCCCCTGCCCGCACTGGCCTGTGGCCAGAGTAAAAGCTGCCCCACCTCTCCAGGGCGGGAGGGTCGCGAGCCCTGGGGAGTTCACCTTCAGCCGACACGAACCCATGGCGACTCCGCCCACCCACTTGGGTGCCCAGGCGCCAGCTCAGCACCCCGCTTGCCCTGCAGGCCTGGCTGGCGGAGGTGGAGGGCCGGCTCCCGGCGCGGGGCGAGCAGGCCCGGCGGCAGAGCGCCATGTTCGAAGCGCAGAACCCGCCCGCGGTGGCCAACTGCGCGCAGGACCGGGAGAGGTACAGTTTCTGGGCCTCCGGCGGTGGGGCCGGGCGCGGGCTGCGCGGCGGGGCGCTATAGTTGCCATGTGCCTTCCCGACTCGAGCAGCCCGGATGGCAGTTACACGGAGGAGCAGAGCCAGGAGAGCGAGGTGAAGGTGCCGGCCACGGAGTTCGACGACGAGTTCGATGACGAGGAGCCGCTCCCGGCCATCGGCACCTGCAAGGCTCTGTACACCTTCGAAGGTAGCGCCGGGGCGGCCCCCGCTTTTGCTGTGCGCGCAGGATGGCAACTGCCTGGTCGGGCCGCGCAGCTTTTACTGTGTGCGGGCGCTGAGACTTCGGCCACCCCTCCCTGGACGCAGGCCTGCTCAGAAAGGCCCCTGGGGTGGCGGTGGGAGCCAGGGACACCGGGCGGGCCCTGGGAGCTGACAGGGGGCAGCTGCCTGCGGCCGGGGGACGGGGCCAGGGCCTGGGGCGTCGTGGAGTAGGGTCCAGCCCTTCAGAGTTCAGGGAGCTCTTGGCCCGCGGATGCCAGTGCCCAGCTTTAGCAAACGGGTACGGCTGCCCGAGGTTACGCCTGGGATTAGTAGTCTCTGCGCAGCGCCAGGCAGGTGAGTGCGGTTCCCGCAGGGTCAGCCAGAAACACTTGGATTTTACTTGGCAAAACACAGAGGCGCTATTGGGGCATGGACTCCGTCAGCGCCAGCCTTAGGTCGCTCCTGCAGAGCAGTCAGAGGCTTCGACTGGACGAGGGGTGGCGGGCGGGGGCCGGGGAGAGGAATCTTACAGGTCTGGGGTCGGGCCTTTGGCGACTGGCTTGTG